GAAGACACCTGGTCAAGCAGCGAAGGCTCCCACGAGGACAGTGACATCGAGGACGGAGGCCACGCTGTTCGTTTTGATGAGGACGACATTTCCCCTCCAAAATGGATCCCTGAAGACCTGCATGACTATGAAAGGAAGATGCATACCTTGACTGTGGGTTCAGACATTGGTTGTGACATCATGATTCATCTAGATTTTGATGCTGACTTACCAACAATTAGAGAAACTGAATGAACCCATTACATGTTCTCGTCTCACCTGCCAGGAGTTTTCCATCTCTTGCAGCTGCACTTTTTTCCACCGGACCTACTATCGGGAGGTAGGGCTCATTTCGGATGACAATTAGACCCAATCCATCCTCTTGCATCTGGATATTCGTCTTCACTGTTGTGGCTAGCGTATGCTCCGATTCGCCCATTTCTGAATATTATGAATAAATTGTTTTGCTTCTCATATGATTGAAATCATCATTTGAAACTCAGGGTTCTACAATCTCTTTGGAAGCTTAACTATGAGGCCCCACTAGCTCAGCTGGTCTGTATTCTGCACCAGCTGGAGTTTTGGGTGAGTCCCCCCCCCCCCCCGCCACAGAACAGCCTTCCTGAAACGGGTCCCCTCCAGATATGTCACATCCCAGCACAAGGCAATGTTGGTAACAGGGAGATGCCAGGCTGGGGACAGATGCTTTACAGAGAAGTGTGTTTATTTTGGTGAGGGTGGGTGGACTGCACTTCATGAGATGCCAGTTTTTAGAAACCGTAAACTACGTCAAAATGTCCAATAACACAGTATTCTTTTCTACACTTGATGAATGATCAGAAGTACAACCAGGGCCAAAGCCATAGAGGGATAGATCCAGGGACCGCCCCTCAGGCTTATGTGAATGTTCCTTTTGTGTGCTCCCACTGTGCAAAGGCTTCCTGTCAGTAGCTGTCACAACATTGTGTGGCCCTGATCTCCATCCATTCATTGTGTCCTGGATCTCCTGCCGCTCACCTAAGTTCCAGTTACTATCCTGTTCTTCAGTGTCACTGTGCAGGCTTTCTTCATCTTCTGTAGGGTGCTCACAATAAAATGGAATAAAAACAGTCAAATAATATCAATTTAACAACAGTAAGAAAACCATTCAAGATGGAAAAAAAGGGATAAACCAGATGGTGACCGGAGGGAAGGCCTGCCTGAATAGCCAGGTCTTGAGTTGGCTCTTGAAAATACCCAGCGAAGGGGCCAAGCGAATCTCGGAGGGGAGATTAAACTCAGGGTCCAGACTTACCTAACTCAGCCACTGTACTTAAATAGCTGGAGTTTGGTTAGAGCAAATAGTAGTAGTAGGCATCCTTCAGTCTCGAAAGACTATGGTATCGTGCTCTGTATGGAGGACTTGGAACAGCGTCTAGTGTGGCTGAGGAGGCCAATTCGAGAGTGACAATCCCTTCCACACTGGAGACAAATCCAATCTGTCCCCTGTCCAGCTCCCTGGTTTTGCTTCCTTTGTGACTTCCTCTTTGCCTCAGCCTGCTGGACAAGGGTCTCTTCAAATTGGGAGAGGCCGTGATGCACTGCCTGCCTCCAGGCTGAACGATCAGATGTCAGAGTTTCCCATCTGTTGAGGTCTATTCCTAAGGCCTTCAGATCCCGCTTGCAGATATCCTTGTATCGCAGCTGTGGTCTCCCTCTGGGGCGGGTGAGGGTCGATGGCAGCTTCAACCCAACATATGGGCTTGCACGTTCCCTAGCCCTCAGATTCCTTTACTGTTGGAAAACAAACGTATTTCTGACGATCAGATCCTGTTGAAGACATCGGAAGGCAAATAATCACTCTGAACTAGCAACTAGCAGTCTTCTTGACAAAGGAATAGTTGTCCAACATTCACCTTCATTTTTTGGTATCATCTTTGTAGCCAAAATTGTTAGGGCAACTAGCAAATTAAGAACTCTTTATTTTCCGAGGTGACGTCCTGCTTAAGATTGGGCATGCGAATGTCTTAGCATGGACACTGCGGGAGCTCCTTCAACTGTTCCGCAACACCCCTATCGGCACAATCATTCAAATCCAGGTGTACAGAGATTTTGTGAAGTTGCCCAGGAGATGGGAAGCCGCTGTCAACAATATTCCTGAAAGGAAGGGGCCAGAGACAGAGGAGTAAGTATCAGTAGAATCCTAACTAAAATTCTGAGGAAAGTTCCTAAAAAGCACAGGGGATGAAATTTGAAAATCAAACATCAAAGTGAGTTCCTGCAAGGTGGAGTTTAGGGAGGTGGCATAGCTGGGTGACACAGCACATATTTTTCAAGCTAAAATCCTTGGGTTCAATTCCTGGCATCCCTGATTTTTCAGGATGCTCGTCATATAAGCCCTACCCCCCAAAAGTAAGCCCCAGTGAAGTGAAACCCTGCCCTCCACCCTTCTGCAGCAACCAGAAGAAGAGGACAGAACTGAATCTGAATAAGCATAGATGGTTGTACATGAAAAAAAAAATCCCCTGAAAATCAGCCCTAAAGCTGCTGCCTAATCCTTTGACACAGAGATGTGTCTTCCAACCTTTGTCTCGTTTTCAATTTGTCAAGGGATATATACCGACAGGAGAACACTGCTTTAACATTGACCACCTAGAAAACTGATTTAGAAAGGGCTTCTCTTAGAAAGTTTTCGTTTCTATAACTCACTGCATTGTACGTTTTAGGGTATCAAGCTGTCCCAGCGAAGACACCTGGTCAAGCAGCGAAGGCTCCCACGAGGACAGTGACATCGAGGACGGAGGCCACGCTGTTCGTTTTGATGAGGACGACATTTCCCCTCCAAAATGGATCCCTGAAGACCTGCATGACTATGATAGGAAGATGCATACCTTGACTGTGGGTTCAGACATTGGTTGTGACATCATGATTCATCTAGATTTTGATGCTGACTTACCAACAATTAGAGAAACTGAATGAACCCATTACATGTTCTCGTCTCACCTGCCAGGAGTTTTCCATCTCTTGCAGCTGCACTTTTTTCCACCGGACCTACTATCGGGAGGTAGGGCTCATTTCGGATGACAATTAGACCCAATCCATCCTCTTGCATCTGGATATTCGTCTTCACTGTTGTGGCTAGCGTATGCTCCGATTCGCCCATTTCTGAATATTATGAATAAATTGTTTTGCTTCTCATATGATTGAAATCATCATTTGAAACTCAGGGTTCTACAATCTCTTTGGAAGCTTAACTATGAGGCCCCACTAGCTCAGCTGGTCTGTATTCTGCACCAGCTGGAGTTTTGGGTGAGTCCCCCCCCCCCGCGCCCCAGAACAGCCTTCCTGAAACGGGTCCCCTCCAGATATGTCACATCCCAGCACAAGGCAATGTTGGTAACAGGGAGATGCCAGGCTGGGGACAGATGCTTTACAGAGAAGTGTGTTTATTTTGGTGAGGGTGGGTGGACTGCACTTCATGAGATGCCAGTTTTTAGAAACCGTAAACTACGTCAAAATGTCCAATAACACAGTATTCTTTTCTACACTTGATGAATGATCAGAAGTACAACCAGGGCCAAAGCCATAGAGGGATAGATCCAGGGACCGCCCCTCAGGCTTATGTGAATGTTCCTTTTGTGTGCTCCCACTGTGCAAAGGCTTCCTGTCAGTAGCTGTCACAACATTGTGTGGCCCTGATCTCCATCCATTCATTGTGTCCTGGATCTCCTGCCGCTCACCTAAGTTCCAGTTACTATCCTGTTCTTCAGTGTCACTGTGCAGGCTTTCTTCATCTTCTGTAGGGTGCTCACAATAAAATGGAATAAAAACAGTCAAATAATATCAATTTAACAACAGTAAGAAAACCATTCAAGATGGAAAAAAAGGGATAAACCAGATGGTGACCGGAGGGAAGGCCTGCCTGAATAGCCAGGTCTTGAGTTGGCTCTTGAAAATACCCAGCGAAGGGGCCAAGCGAATCTCGGAGGGGAGATTAAACTCAGGGTCCAGACTTACCTAACTCAGCCACTGTACTTAAATAGCTGGAGTTTGGTTAGAGCAAATAGTAGTAGTAGGCATCCTTCAGTCTCGAAAGACTATGGTATCGTGCTCTGTATGGAGGACTTGGAACAGCGTCTAGTGTGGCTGAGGAGGCCAATTCGAGAGTGACAATCCCTTCCACACTGGAGACAAATCCAATCTGTCCCCTGTCCAGCTCCCTGGTTTTGCTTCCTTTGTGACTTCCTCTTTGCCTCAGCCTGCTGGACAAGGGTCTCTTCAAATTGGGAGAGGCCGTGATGCACTGCCTGCCTCCAGGCTGAACGATCAGATGTCAGAGTTTCCCATCTGTTGAGGTCTATTCCTAAGGCCTTCAGATCCCGCTTGCAGATATCCTTGTATCGCAGCTGTGGTCTCCCTCTGGGGCGATTTCCCTGCACTAATTCTCCATATAGGAGATCCTTTGGAATCCGACCATCAGCCATTCTCACAACGTGCCCAAGCCAGCGTAGACGTCGCTGTTTCAGTAATGTATGCATGCTGAAAATTCCAGCATGCATACATTATAATGAAGATGTCAGAAAATCAAAAATGTCTCTCTAGGTTATTTTACTAATACAGAAGGAACAATACTTCTGTTTTCACATGGACCAGAGAATTAATTGTTTCTGAACGTGTAGAGACAAGTTCCCATGTTTGACATTAATATGCTTTCATTTTAATTGTCTTAACTATAGAAACACATACACATATATAAGTTTAAATTTCATTGGCTATAATCCTGTTGTGCGTCTCCATATGATTATGTTATTGTCAGTGGTCAATTGCTGTTAATCAAGGTGATTCTCAGGTGTGCATAACTCCTACATAAATTGACAAAATCATGTACATCCTGAAATCTCCAATGGCAGTTTGCTGCTACTGGCTCCATCATCACCATTGTGCATACAGAGCTCTGGAAGAGGATTCTGTCCATTGAATCCAAAATTTTACTTCTATGTAAAGAAAAAATGGGTGGAATTTTACCTGAAAGAACTTTTAAAGAACCCTTTGGTCTCATCTCTCTCTCTCTCTCTCTCTCTCTCTCCTCTCTCAACACATGCACGGGCGGGGAGGGAAGATAATGTCTTTAACTTGTCACATTCAATGAAGGTAAAATGCAAGGGGCAGTTATAAAATACAGGGCTGATGGCCCTCCTATCTGTGACACTGGAAAGTGTAGTCCAGTTTCATTGTGGAAAGTTAGTGCTCTAACACTGACCTTTATTTTGATTGTATATAGGTATCTGTAGAGGATAAGGTTGGCACTTTTTCCTCGGGAATCTTAAATGTATTTGTTGTATTAATGTATGAAGATGGACACAGTGTTCTTTAATGGCCACTAGGTCCCCTCAATTAAAAAAAATCAGCTTGATGTTAAACAACATAGGTATGGATTAGAGATGGGGGTATTCGTATACGAATACGAATATCCCCACACAGGTGGCGTTAATGAGGGTCCAGCCCCATGG